TGACCATCTTTACCATTGATCTTAAAATCAAAAACCATCAGCACAACCTCCAACATATTTTTCTCCCCTGCTTGCTGTATTTGGTCTTTGGGGTTTGGTTTTCTCACAGCAAAAACTGCATTACCTCCAAAGCAACAAAATACTTCTGAAATTATAAAATAATAATAATCAACACCAAAGATAATATAACCAAAAATCCTAGAATGCTAAGGCTGTGCAATTCTCTGTACTACAGATACATCTTTAAATAACATGCATTACGTTTTGTGACTTCCTACATTACTGCTTTGCAAAGAGGTCTAAAATCATAATTTTGGGGGTCTCTTACATTCTAAGAGAAAACAATTTTGAAATACAATCAACAAATAAATGCTAGATACAGTTTCTAAACTTTACCCTTTGGAGTTGATAACTGAAAAAAAGACTCATGAATATAAGGTAAAACAAAAAACAGAGAAACAAACAAAATTCTATTCATAACCTGAAATGAGAACCGTTTTGAATATATTTCTCCCATAAACATCTGTGTTGGCCATGGGCCTATGGGCCCCGTACACAGATTTCATGTTCTCCAAATTTAGTTTATGAATCAGGAATACGATGCACAATTTTTTCCTATAGCACAAGCAAAATGAACATCTGTTCACTTTTTGCCACGTAGGTTTATATCTGTGTGGGTGGGTGTGAACAGAGCTCTTGATGTGTAATATTCTTCCCATCTGCACACCAGGTGGCACTGCATAGTTAATCAGAAGATAATAACAGGCATGAAGAAATTACTTACTTTTTTGGGGAAGAGGCAGTAAATCAATCTCAGAAGTCTTTTTTTTTATTATTATTAAAAACAAGGTACATCATTGCTTGACTTTTAATTTGTGTGTGTGCGCGCGCAATTTCATTCCAATCAATGAAATCATCTGATTATATTATTGTTTGAATGCTATGTTAATTAACTATGAATGACTGCAATTATCACAAAGGTTCTTTCCACAAGGGATTTATTTATTTATAGCTTTAACCCTTGCAAGTAGGAGATATAATTTAGGATACAACCCAGTAAGTCTCTTGAATTTAATCTATACGCTCATGAAAGCTACAATTCTGCAACATTTAGTAAAATTTCTTAATATCCTAACAATAGAACTGACTACAGCAATCCAAATTGACAAGATGGAGGAAGAAACAAGACAGACTTGTTACTAGTTGCAATTCACACTATAATAAAAAATTAATTAGAAAGTTAGGTAGGGCTTCCTGTTTACTTGCAAGCCTACAGACACTTGTGTCTAAGTTAAACACTTACAGCTTTTTAAATATATTTTACATAATTTTAAAAAAATCCTTGAAGATAATTTTATCTCCATAAAGAGAGAATATAAACATTACATAAAATCACTACATTATGACAAAACGCTACAGAATACGTACACAGGTTTGTGTAAAAGTATGTAGAGAGTATCTTTATAGTGATATAATTTCTACGTATTCGTTTTGAAAGTTACATCAGACATTCTTCAACACATCCAAAGGTTTAGGTTACTCATGTTCATTCAGTTAAATAACTGTACAAACATTTCACAAAATGCTTTGTGGTGTCTTAAAGGAGAGTCACAGAAACCTGTTTTGCAAACAACATAGCTGAACTTCAAGAAGGTGAGTAGTAAAAATACAGTAATTCCACATTTGCTCTGATAGCTAAGTGAGAAGCATACATGCAGTTTGGTGGGTTTTAAATTTAGGTTTAACCCTGAAATACACACTTACCCTCAGTTAGTGATTATGAATAACGACAGAATACCGAAAGACATAACAGGAAGATGAACTGAGTTGTAAAAAGATAATTTAAGGACTTTGATTTAATAATCTCTTATCACTCTTCAGTTATTGTATAAGAAACAAGATAACGTCTGCTGCCAGATGTTTTTAAAATACATGCCTTTGTACAAGAGGAACTGAGAGAATACAAGAGTAGATGATAGACAGATGTAGCAATTGGACAGATCAATACCATGGAAAGGGCATTACAACAAAGGTGTGATGTACTGGCACAATAGAAAGGTACTATAAAGGAAGGGAAGAAGGTTGCTCACCTGTATCAGAAGATTCCAGGTTAACAGGGGAATGCTTTACCAAGGAGGGATCTTCAGAAAGAGATCCTTCTCCAGTGGCAGTCAGCCCTTCAATGAGGTTTAAGAGAGGTGCAGCCAGGCTCCAACCCTTCTGGTCACATAGGTGAATTGCCTTCACCTGTGCTCCCAGGGCTGACTGGGTCCTTTCCCCATGTGCTGAACCAGTGGTTCAGGCATGACTCAACAGTCCCCACACAACAGGGAAGAGGGAATTAGCATATTGGTCCTCTAGGAATTAAGAAAAGTACATTGTTAAAAACTAGTTGGATGGAATACAGTTTAGGTAAGGTTAAAAAAAAAAAAAAAAAAAAAAAAAAGAGATTGAAGGCAAGAACTCAGGTTCTGTTACGTATGGCTCCCAGTGTGCTGCTGCCTAGACTTGATCTCTTGCATTACCACTTATCCAGTTAAGTATTAAAGCTTCTACTCACAGCTAGTCACCTAGCTTTGTAACTCCAAACTCCACATCAGTCTCTATCACCTTATATACACATAGCTGCAGCCCATTTAGAAAGTTAAGATGGTGCAGAATAAAACTATGCAGAGATAAGGCATAACTGTCAAGCAGAGACACCAGAAGTTTGGTAGCATGCAATGGCCATCTGATCCTCTTCAGGTCTAGTACATGAAATTTTTCTGAGCTTCAGACCTACATCCTAGAGAGAAACTTTCACCTCAAGATAAGCACCACTGTAGTCTCAAATGCCACCATAACCAAGGGCAATGAAACTATGTATAACTTTATATTATTAAGTATGTTAGAGCAATGCTATTAATGTATATCCTTTAGGAAACTATTTGGGAACTCTATGCTTTTCAAGTTTGACAAAGAGAAAATATATTGACTTCAGGACACTTTCCAAATTGCATTAGCAACAGAAAGAAGAAAATATTTCACAGGAAAGCAGGCTGTAGAGTTTTAAGCCACGCAAGTCACACAGCTCTTATTTCATTAAAAAAAAGATTGTTCTTTTTTCTTTTTTCCCCCTTCACATTAATTTCCTTTATTTTCAATGCACACAGCATAGCTAGAGTTTTGGAGAGGTGCTTTTGTTATTTTTATTATTATTGTTGTTGCTTTTTCTGACAGTGCAGAAACATAACTGTAGTAAAGAATAGTGAAGTTGCTGCATCTGTTCCCACAGAAATCCTTCATTATTCATTTATCCTCAGTATGGTCACTTGACTCAGTCACCTTGACTTTCACACATCTATTCCTTTTTTTCCTCTCCTCCACTACTAGGGAAAGCTGAAAACTACTACATTTATAATTCATCAAGTTACATATTCATTCAGAGCCAAATATGCAACTTCTATTTTATGTAAATAGTATCCTTTAATTATGTCACTTTTAAGATTCAGGGAAGTCCACAGTGGCATTGTCCTAAATATACATATTTCAGCAGGAAAAAAAAAAAAAAAAAAAAAAAAGAGAGAAAGCATTTTTACCTTCTGTTTACTAATTACTCTGGTAAACAAGTGGTTTACAGGAGAATTATATTTCAGATAACTTCTCTTGTTTAAAGCTCTGTCTCTGCCCCTTTGCTTAGTATCTGCATGGCACAATACCTACATAAACAGTTTCTGGTTAGAAATGAATATTAGGATGACTTTATTAAGAAAATAAAGCCACATATATAATACAGTACAAGCCTACTCACAAAATTCTCATTTATCTATCTTGCTAACCTTTAAATCAAACATTTTAAATGCCTGAGTCACAAATTATGGGTAAATCATGCTGAGATTACAAAATCTGCTTCAGAAAGCAAACATTCATTAATCTGTAATCGGTGAAACTTCAGAAAGCAGTTTAAAAGACAGATTAAAACAATAAAGATATACTGGGTCCATTGCCTTGCATACAACTATGTCAAAACATCACACAACAAAAATTCATTCACATAAATCTCTAGCTATGTGAGGATGTAGGATTAAATAAACTACAACAGTCTGCGATCACATGACAGAATAGACCTGCAAAGCTTATACTACATACACAGATGGTAAACAACAACAGTTGTCGCTGCACTAAGAATTACATCTCTGTAATCAATAATAGGAAGGAGGAACAGTTGGACAACTTGTTTCCTATTATGTTCACTTAGGCAACGTCTAGATCAATAAAGAGCATTAAGCCTCATACCAACTGCAGACAATGCCTGCTCAAAATTCCTATCATATGGTAGCGATAGGTCCAGCTGTACTTCAAAATACTTGTAAATGGATAGCAATTCTAATCTAACATTAAATAGAGACAATGGTTCAAACAGGAGGCAGGTGCGAGAATTTTTAAGCATATGAGAGAAGACAGACCTATCATGACAGTTTTAGTATAACTCAAAGTCAGCTTATTTTGTCAAAGTATCCCATAATTACATTTTGCTACACTATAAAATATGTAGAAGATGCCACATGTTTTATATAAATGAAAGAAAAAGCAATCAAGCATGGTATCACTGCCTTCCATATAGACTCAGTAATTATTTGAGCATAGTAAGTTGTTCACAGAAATTGAAAACTGAACTTGTACATCACTTTTAAGCCAATAAGACAATAAATTACAGATAATTAAATTTTTCTGTTTATCTATTTTTGAAATCTTTAGATTAAAAACAAGGCATTCTACTAAATGCTTGACTTACAAATCTATCATGCCCATATGAAAATTAAAACAAAGTGCTATATTAAACCCTCAGCTTTAGCTTCTTCAAAGGATAAATAAATCACAATATATTGTTTTCTTAATGTATCAGATTGAAGTAGTCTAACATCATATTATGAGTCTTAATTTACTCTTGGTTTTAAAGTTTAAAGAGTTTTGGTTTTAATGTTTAAAGAGGACAATACAGGAAATTGAGTTGTTCTTACCTATTCCAATGAAGACTGCTTCATAGCCATTTTCTTTCAAGGTACGGAGTGTCATTCCATCAACAGCAAGGCCTTTACTAAAAATTATCTGGAAGAGTTAAAATTATTTGCTTTTTATCTGATAATATCAAAATAATTTCTACCATGTCCTGAATACTGACATCTTACAGAATCTTTCAGTGAACAACATAATTTTTATTATTATTATTATTATTATTATTATTATTATTATTTTACTCTAAGCCAGGCTCAAAAGGACAGATCAGCTCTGATTTAAGTGGCCCAAACTAGATCTGGGCAAAACATAACTTTCAATCACCTTCATATGCAGCCAATGTAAGCTAGCTTGGTTTCGAAAGCTAAAAGGGATAATAAAGCAATCTAAACAAACAAAATCTGTGCATGGAATGCAATATCGAGGTAAAGCTGAAAATGGCAGTTTTCTGCTGTAAATAACTCTATTCAGTGTTGACTACAAAAGGTAATATTTCTAAGTGAAAATCAGAATTTAAGAAATATGATGTTGAAGCAGGAACCCAGCTTAGGGAACGTGTGTGCTAAATGGAACAATCACCCTAGACAGCAACCGAAAAACCCAAACAATTTAAGTTACTGCAAAAACAGCAGTAAGAGTATGAGTTGCTTACAGAGAAGTAAAGAAAATAAAAGGCACCACTATTCTGCGTTAACAAGGGTTCTGAACAGAAAAACAAGCTGTGTTTCCCCACACAATATCAGACACTTAGCATTTATGCAGAATACAGCATCAGGAGTTTCTTTGTGTTGTGCCTTGGAAGCTCACAGCCTTAGTTTTTCTCTGAGATCACTAGCTAGCTAGAACACTTTTACGCCGAGAAAACACTAGGCAAAATAAATTGTATTTTTGCAGATTCAGACCTGAAAAACCGGGCCAGAGATGGACAAGTCTGAAGAACACTCTGTGGAGACTGCAGCACTCCCTACTTACTAGCAATGATGCCAGCTAGTCTGTGCAGTAAGGTAACAAAGATTTTCAAAACTATAAAAGAAATCAGTTTGGATTTGAATTGACAATTGTTTAATTCTAATTCAGCAAATAACAATACCTAGACTGCAGTCACTGACATTGATTTATTGAATAACTGCAAAGTAACCTTCCACCTGCAACCTTGCCTTGAGCAGCCGCTGCACAGGTGGTTGTGGGTCTACAGCTGTTTTGAGAATGAAGGGGAGGAGTGTTTGCTGTGTGTTCAGTGAGGCAACTATAGCAGTCACCTGTTGGATGACATGCAATTAGAGATGCACAAACCTACTGTACATTTCTGTCAAACCAAGGGCTTTTGAGTGCTTGTGATTCCTCTTCTGATACTTCGTGCTTTTTGACATGGCTATGTGTCTCTATCTCCCAACTTCAGACTCTCTGACTTGAATGCTTCCCCCAGATTTTTGATAAATCACTTATGCATTCTCTTTATCAAAATGCCAAGCTCCATTGTATAAGAACTGTGCTTTGTGATCTGAGTTCAGTTCTTCATGTCATTGCATATCTTGTTTGATGCTGAATCTACCTATATTCCATTTAGTGTACTTTTGAAAATGTGCTTTCCTCATAGCTGAAAAATGACAGATATAAGACACAGCATAGAATACCTAAAACACTGACTCTTATTTCCTTTTCTGGACTATTTTCTATCAGAACTGAAAAAGCCAGGTACAGTTGTAATCCTTTCAAGAATACAGGCTACAAGCTCGCTGGCAACAAAACACATTCCATAAATCGTCATTACATATTTTTTTTTTGTCCTATTGTGTACATATGTTATGAAAATCTAATGAAGGAATTAAAATAGCAATATTGTTTTATGTAGGGATTCATAATACTCCTAGGGCCCAGCTCTCTAATCCTTATTCACCTGACTAATTCTTACTAATTTCAGTAGAATTACTTGAATAAACAGCACGGTTGAGCATTTAGACAATAGAGCACTTTCATTTGAAATGCTTTAAATAAACACCAGAAAATATTTCCAAGCTTGTAGAGGAATAAAGCTAAAGTACTTAACCAGCTTGCAAAAGGGTCAATTGCAAACCAGTGGCAGAGCTTGGAAGTAAATTTATACTGACATTTTCTGCAGCATCTCAAAACAATAAAGGACTTGCACATCAGGATGACACAATGGCTCACCTGCAGGAGACTTTGTCATAGAAGAGCACTCCGGGGATCTGAGTTTTGTAGAGGCTTCCAGGAAACAATACCCAGCAAGTTCATTTAAAATACTCTCACTGCTTTGATTTTTACAGAATTCCTAACTACATGTCCAGTCTGTCAGCCTTTAAAATTTGCTTTGTAACCCAGGAAGAGTGAGAAAATGGATCTGTAGCATTTAAGGCTTTGCCTTACACCTGATCTGGGCACTTCTGAGTTTCTCACTTAGGTCTTGGGATAACAGTTTTTACAATATGAACAGCTTTTACAATATGAAGATTTTTACAATATTTTCTTGCTTGACTGAATGCTGTATTATTATGCTAAAAATGTTTTTACCCCTCCTGCTACTGTAAAACTTGTTTTAGTGATGCATTCTGTGCTCCTGTTAGAATGAGGAGCCCTCATACATACCAACTAAAGTTTAAGCTCAAGACATATATTAACAATAGAGTAACATACCCACTATTTATAAACAATACTCATTTAAAAAAATGTGCAGCAATTGCTTTCCAAAGAGTTGAATGACTGCTATTGTTTATAATAAATGATCACATTAACAATTTTATAATAAAATGCATCAAATTAATAAAGCAACTCATATACAGGACTGTATTATAAGCCATTAAGGGAAAAAAAAAAAAAAAACTTGGGAAGAGGGAAAAGAAGAGAAGGGAGAAGTATAAAATATGAATGTCTTAAGTAGTGCCAAACTTGCATGAAAAAACTTGATTAAAAAAAAAAAAAAATCAAATCATTCCAATAGCTACATTGAACCCCTAAAGCAATTTAGGAATTTGTTTCTTACAGACAATTAATCACATGCAGACATGTCAGATGAGAACTATTGATTGCCCTTTTCTAAACTAGTGGCATTCAGACGGGAGACAGACAAATGCCCTGAGCAAGAGGAAGCATCTTCCTGCCTCTGTCTAGTGCAGCTTTTAATTGTTCTTTACTAATGTGCATGACATTTTGCTGTTAATCTTTGGCAGACTCCTTGTTCTTTTTTTTTTTTTTCTTTGAGCTACACATAGGCAGGACATATTTTTCATTACCTTCACTCCGAGATCCTTCATAAGTTCAGCTTCAAAATTCACTACATCGTATGGCAATCTGAACTGAGGGATTTCAGATGCGCTGAAATAAATAAAGCAAGCTTGTGATATACTTTCAGCTATAAGGAAGAAAGGTGAGTGGCAGTGCTTTTTAGCTGTTAAAAAATTAATACCTATAACATACTTTAGTTAATTCGGAGGTATTTGAATGGAAACGTTTTTGAGTCTTGGCTTTTTTAAATCTTTAGAGTGACAAAATAGCACTTTTCACACAATACTAAAAATCCAGATCAGAAGTAAGTTGAGGTCAATACTGCACACATTTGTAGATCATTACTTAATGAACGTTAAGCACTGGTACAAAACAGCTTCAGCTCCACGCCTTTTGTTCACCAGTCATATTTAGCAGTAGATAAACTTATCTTTCTAGGACGAGGTCTCGTAGCTAGAAAAGTGAGGTCCTAGCAATCATTCAGGAATTTATTCAAAAAGAATCAAATTTCCCCTACCTAAAAATAGCAATATGTTATTTTGAGCAATGGTACTTAAAACTGTACCCTCGTCCACTTCTAGTTCATAACTTCCACAGTCTTTCAGGAGATACAAAGTCAGTAATTTTCTATCAGCTCTTAGTTTCTTGTTTTGTTTGCTTTTTTTTTTTTGTCTTTTTTTTTTTTATTATTTGGCATCTATTAGTAGTTGGCTTTTTTTCTCTTGATTAAGATTAGGAATGACTTTAATGTCCCAGCACCATAGGTCTCCAGTAATGGAAAATTGTACCAACACAGAATCCAACTTCATATTTGGTACAGATCTTTATCTCCAATGAAATGACACATAAGCGCATGTCAGTTTTCTCTTATGGAGGCAAGTTATAGGTAAACACAGTGAAGACCTATTTTAGATATTTTTGATTGAAGGAGATAGGAAGACAGAACATGGAGAACAGTTAAATTTTCTCCGGAGATATTTCAAACCTTTGATTTAATCTGATGCCAAATTAATGGATCAATTATTTCAATAACAAAGCATGGTTACAAGAGATAGGTTTCAGTCTTATTTTACATCTTGCTAGTGACAACCCCACCTTTATGATCCAACATTGATGGGCAAGAAGGATTTACTTAGTTTCACCAACTTCAATTATTTTGATGATAAATTGGTGTTCCTCCTTATTGTTTCTAATGTTGACGACCTTGCATCTCTTCTGACTAAAGCGCAAAGAAAAATGCTCTAAATATCAAATATAATGGATATGAAATGACAGTGCAACTTTGATAGGTCATGGTAAGCAAAAAAAGCTTTCTGAGGAGGAAAATAATGCATCAGTATGATACAATTGAGATTGAATTAAAAAAATCTAATAAAAAAAAAAAGGGAAGTTGTATTTTATCAAGTTGTCTGTGCTTTTGTTGAAGGCCTGTCATTTCTATAACTCTTAAAAAACTCAAAACAGACCTGGCTGCATTATGTCACTGTCACAATTTGTAAATGCTTTCTTGCTCTTAATAAAAACTTAGTTACAGTTTCATTCTATGGAGTATAGATTTATGCCTGTCCTGTTTTAAACTGGAGTTGGTTTTATTTTTTTCCTGATAGTGTCTGGTGTCGTTTAGCTGCTTGCCAAGTTAAACCTCAACAGTGTTCACAGAAATATGCCTATATGTGTATATGCAAATACGCATGATCCTGTGGGGACCCATGCATGCACATTTATGATGAATTAAAAAAACCTCTTATGAAAGTCAACTTTTAGCAGAATTACCGACATACAATCTCTTCCAACAGACAATCTCTTCAGTGAAAATGCAGAGATAGAAGAAAAAAGCAAAGGTACAGGAGGATGAAGAACAACAGTCTTGGATGGGAACATAGTCCCATGAATTCATCTCTTCAGCAATTTCATATAAGTTAGAGGAACTTGGACAGGTACTTGGTATTTCTCACAGATCACAAGTTGCTTTTGCCTAAAGGACATCCTTCTAATCTAGCAAAAGCAGGATTTTCTTATTCAAGTTGCAAGTGAGTGACTTAACTAGGAGGAATAGTGAAGTTTGTTCACTGTCTCTAAACAAGAGTATGATCTGCTCATATCTTCTCTAAAACAAACTTTACACAAAGTAATGAAATGTACGAAAATCTGCCTATAAATGTGAAAAACTGACATGTCCAAACAACTACAGAGTTTTACTGGGTTTAAATACAACAATACTGAAACTGAAATCACTAAACAACTTTCCTTTATTGAAATATTTGTAAAACTATAATCTGAGAGACACACACACAAAGGCACTTCCTAGTTAAAAACACTCAAAAAGGCAGAGCAAATTTTAGAAGTACCAAGCACTGCTCTTCCCTAGTAAAATTCCAAGTACAAAATTAATTCAATCTTGCTGGTAATTTGCAATTTCCAAAGCCTTGAAAATATACCCATCATTAACCTAAGCTTCTTAAAAGATCTACTGTAAAGATATACAATTCCAGCAATGGGTGATTGCTGCCTCCTTTCTGTTCCAATATTAAAATCAAGATGAGTAAAGCTGATGCCTTAACCAAGTTGTGAAACTTTCTTCAATGAATGGAAATAAAATTTGATTGGTGATTGCTACACGTTCTTAAAAGTAAGATAAAGCAAAATGCACTGCTTGACCATAAAAACACTAAAACAAAAAAAAGTGGTGAAGGTTCTTTTTTCAATAGGACAAAAAATTAAGATCAATTTTAAACTCAAATTAAAACAAAGAACAGGTGAAAATTAATATAACATTCCTTCAAATATGAAAGCAGCAGGGAATTGCAGAAAGTACTGCATTTTATTCTTGAGTCAGCACAAGTCTAACTTGCCATCAAATTTCATTTTTCAAAAAGAGTTCATTATTCACTATCACTTTTCAGTAACAAAACTGATTTTAAATCCAGTATTCATGAAATATTATTTGCTACCAAACAGGTGAATAGGTATTTCATGTACTAAATATGAAATCATTTTATGGCAACTAGTTCAAGTGAAAGAGCTTCACATGGTTAAATGCCCATGCATTAAAACCTTGATAATTACATAGAATACTTTTGAAACTCCCTGTGAAAAAAGTAATCAGTTCAACTTTTCCAGCATTGATTCTCTATCTTCCAGAGCTCTGAATAAGTATTTGACAGTATGACATTATGGATCAAATTCATTAACAGTGTCAACTCTATTGATTTCAGTAATGCTGCAATGAGAGAAATGTGAGTGCATCACCCTACTTTCTACTTTTAACATGTTTACAGAATAAAAAATAAGTGGCTCCATTTTCAAGGTGTAAAATTTAATTTTGATTTTGAATTGGTTTCTCAATGGCTTCTGAAATACTTTCTCTTTTATTTTGCAGTTCCAATGAGCTTGTAAGATATGACTTCAACTATTGTTAAAGTGGTAAAAATTCATCTTCTAGTACAGAGGATGTGATACTGAACCTGAATCATGCAAATATTAGCCAAGTGCTTACCATGTAGGCAAAATGCAAAGGTGCCCTCCTTTGTGTTCTTTACAATTTGTTGAAGGTTAAGAATTGCAGGGGGTTGATTTCAGTCATTTGCATTTTAAACAACTACTAATTATTTCACTAGGTAGAGCTACAAGTACTTGTTTTCAATGTGGTTTTTTTTTTTCTTTTTTCTTTTTTTTAATTACCTTAAGCCACCCACATACTCCTGCTTCTCAAATATGGTGATGTTTGAATAGCCCAATCGAGCCAAAAAAGAAGCACAACTTAAACTTGCAGGTCCTGCACCAAGAAGCGCAATCTTCACATGATAAGCTTCAGGCATATCTTCTGGAGAAGGTAAGGAAGGGTTTCTGATCTGAGGAATGTTCATGGCTTTGAACACCTGAAAAGCAATACATTCAAAGGTTACATACATACTTCATACTCCCTCTTAAAAATTTTGAGTAACGTGGAGGAAGTTTCCACTGGTACTGTCACATGGATGTAATATTTCAGAATGCTTCATAAAACATTATCAAGACTATCATCTGACAATGTGTGCATTTATGAGGAATGCTATAGTTAGTTTTGTACTTCCATGGTTCTTCTTGCCTTAAAACAGTCTGAAGTCAGCTCTTTCTCTACCTTAAACTTTAAAAAAGATGGGATGAGTCTGACAACAAAAGCATAGTAACACAAAGTCAGCCAGATGGCAAAGAACATCTAGAATATCAAACATTTCCTTCCAGAAGAGGTTCAGACTACTCTTTCACCTACTAAAATAATGTTATTTGAATAATGAAAAGGTTTGCCCTGCGACTGAAGGGGCTCTGCTTCTTCCAGATACATTCTCTGTAATCCAGCAAAATTATTTATGGTTTGAGAGGACAGGCAACCAACACATCACCGGGTAACTTGGAACTTTTATTAGAAAATGTCTCTTGTCTTCATCATTGTATTTTCACAGTTAACCACTACTGTAGATTTGTCCTCCTACATGATTCTAACATTTCAGATTAACTGACCCTCTAATTCAGATATCAAGCCAATATCATTATAACTGAGCGTCCAACGGTTGTATACATACCTGAAATTTTGGCTGCTCCCTCAGTGCCTCAATTTTTCAACTCTTAAGTAGAGATGATCTCCTCCATTCTACCTTAACTACTAAAAGTACTTGGGAACAGCCTCTGACCATTTCTCTCTGCACAAAATTCTTACTGCAACATCACATTTTATTCCAGATTTGTTCTAAATCAGTTCTTCATACAGCCATAAAGGTAAGAGGATAAGGCAGAGGTGTTCTGGCAAGATTTCGCCATCCTCTGTATGTACATACATCAGCGGGGGAGGAATTGAGTCTCTACCTTGTATAACTTGCAAAAAGTACAGAAAAGACCCATGGCCCTTATAGGCTACTAAAGATCAGGAGTATGGAAGAGTAGAGTAACATCTTCATTTTATTTTAGGTATTAGTGAAAGTATACAGATCCCAAAGAGTATATCTTTATAGCAGAAGCACAATATTATACCAGAAGGATACAAGAGTTCATTGCATTGGGATTTTGAGTCCTATCACAAACACTTCAAAGGCTGCCCTTGGATACTACCAGACTTTTTCCCACTTATTTCAACGCAGGAGTGCATTATAAAAGCAATAACTAGCCCTTTAAAATATAAAATTTTTATTTTTCTTATTAAATAGTTTAAATATGATATTCATTAAGTTTACCTAGGTTTTTTTTTTTTACTATCCTTAAAATCGTGGAAGCAGTTAAACTTTCAAGTTAAACTTTGACAATTCCTGTCATGAATAGAATTTTTCATTTATGTTTTGAATCAATGTTCATTTTCTTCATGCGCACTTGAGCACCCATGCTAGGTAAACCAATCATTAGTTTCTTCTCCCCACTAAACTTTGTGTCAAATTCCACCAGTATTAGTAAATTGACATAGCATTTTAAAAAACTGCAAGAAACAAGAGACAGATAATTGTTTTTAAAAAAGAGTCATTTCAACCTGACAATTCATATAATATGGGAAGGTTTAATGTGGTTATTAATGGAATTTACAGGCTGAAAAGCTTAAATTATACTGTGAAACTAGACAGTGATAACAAGAATGCAATAGGATATTTATAAAATGTCTGCTTCATTACATTCACATAGGAAAGGCTTGAATCATACCAAATTTCCATTGAAGTCTCATGCAGTTGTTTTAGAAGATTACTCAGTGATGCAAATTGTATAACTTGCATATTTAATGTCCACATTGATCACTATGAATATGCACACAGTTAATAAATTTTGTACTGAATTTTCATTGTTGATATTATTTTTATATTTATTATTGAACAGTCATACCTAACAACTGAATGTTATAATAAGGCCCAGTAGTACTCTAATACAGTGCTAGGCTTCAGAACCAAGCACTCATGCAGGAAATGCTAGTAGTTCAGGACGAATGCTCAACTTTAATTCTGCCTATTTGCCAATAGGTTGAAATTGCCTTTATGCAGCAGAGCCAGCTTGTGTGGCAGTATCTTGCCATCTGGAATTCAGTGGCAGTTTTGCATATTAAGGCTGGCAGGGTAACTGTGTGAAAATAGCAAACTGCTTCAGTGCATTTCAAAAGACTTTTACTCACCTCATGGTGAAGTTTCACTACACTGTAATTCATCTAATTAAATATCACTGAATTCTTCAGTGCAGTACATTTGCGTACAGAAATAACTGTCTTGCTAGTATGTGTTCATTACCACATTACATGCAATTGCCCTCTCCAATTCTTTTTATCCTACAGTCAGTAAATCCTAATCCTTTCTTCTCACTTGCCCAACTTTCTCTCAAAAATGCAATTTCATTTTTGTTTGAAGCTTGTTGTTTGTTTGTATTTTTTTTTTTTTGCAATCAAATCATTCAGAAAAATGAGTCTATACACTGAATTTTAAAGCTCAGCCTTCCAGCAAGAAGACTCAGACATCAACCCCATATCTGCCTTCCAGTTCTCTCAGAGAAACAAAACAAATTAATAGCATACTGTAGAAAAATTTATATAACTTGCCCAAACATCAGCAAGTCTTCCATGCTCGGCATAGGAAGCCAAAACACCTCAGATTCATCCCTGAACTATCATGTACTCTCCATCAAAATAATAATAGATTACAATCTGACTTAAAATAGGAAATAACGTAAAGACATGCTACAGTAAAAGCTAATGCCAGGAAACAGAGCTGTCTTTCTGTCTGTTCTGCTGCCTCAGCTCTGCAGAGCAGTTCTCCTCAGCCAGGGCAGCGCGCCCACCTCTGCAGGCGGTGCTGAGGGGCCTGCGGCCATGTCAGGAATCATTCATCTGGGTGCAGCATGGCAGCAGCCAAGAGCCAGCCAGCAGCTGGAGCTCCAGGAGAACCACCACCTCATCTCACTTACATGAAGAATCGCTAAAGGTGTCAATGTACAACTAAGAGTGACCCTGGGCCTATGGGTACTGTCAGGGTGTTCCCTCTGGGCAGCCGCTGCCCCCTCAGCTGCAGTGGGTGAGGGAAGGGTTGGCCCTCAGCACAGCCCTTCAAGCCCACCACCCTGCTGAGGTGCCCCAAAGGTAAAGGCATCAGGAGAAAAAGAGTATCAGATTTCCTTCTCCAATTGCTTTATGCTGTAACAACAGCCAAAACACATCTCATAAGGGGAACAAATTACCAGAGCTGTAGCTGGTATGAGTCTCACAGTGCTAAACAATCTAGTATTGAAATTGAGTATGCAGAGATTAAAATAATACATTTTCTATTTAGATTGTGCTGCTCATTTCAGAATGATTAACTAGAAACACGAGAGACACTTTAGATTCAGAAAAACAAAATGTTGAGGCTTCTTAGTAACAATACTTCAGAATGCAATAGACCATGTTTCCTTTTCTTCAACAGTCTTACAAACTTGTGTTCCAGTAACCAGTAATTTCAGTTTATTTTGTGGGACTGACAGTCATATAACTCATGCCCACACGTATTGTCACTGCAGTCTCAGTATATTTTCTCTGAACTTGTGTTCCAAAAAAAAAGAGATGTTTCCTGATTCTTAAGTACTCAAGCAAAGGAGACAGATAAAGACATTAATATAATTTTGACCTGTGCAGCAGCAGGTGTAACCTGCGCTTGACACTCATCATTTATAATAGTGAGCTTTTACTCCATGTTATTCTCTAGATGCAACAGTTACCGTGGTAACTGCTTCCCAGTATACACATGCTATATCACACATAAAAGGACATTTCCTTTAGTATGTTTGTTCCTCTTTCCACATTTAATTGTCAAAATTCACAATTTTTCAGACTGGATTATAATTTATTCTGAAAATGAGGTTAACATAGTTACAAAACTATATGAAAGAGTAGAAGGAAAAAACTTGAGTGTAAGGTGCCATGATTCTTGCTCCACCATGTGCAAGACTAATATTTAACAATTAGGGAGTTTTATCTGCAGTACGAGCAGATGATCAGTCATTGTTCAGAAGCACAAAGGGGCATACGTTGTGTCCATATATTTTCCATTTTAAACCTATATTCCTGCTTTACTGCAATTTTATCTTTCATCTTAGCTAGCAGTTGTGCCTTCTTATTATTGCTCTCTTGTAATGCAGCAAGTTTAAGATCCTCAGACTAATTCCAAGGGAAAAAAAAAAACTAAAATTGGCTTTACGCACAATGGAGTTTTCAGTAAATAAGTCCCTGTGGGACAAACTATTACACAGTGCATGAGAATTATCATGCAGCTCTCATTAACAGTACCACATGTTGCATACCCAAATCACACAATTTGCTAAGTTACTCATATAGGTAAAGCAATGAACATGCTTCATTCACCATATCTGGGAAATTTTCTGTATTAGCAGTTACAAGTACGATTTTCTTGAGTATTTAAATCTGTATTTTAATAATAATTGCTTCATGGAAGCCCTCACACTATTGGATTTCCTGCAATTATGCACATATTCAGTGTAAAAATTAACTGAATGAAAGCTAAAAAAATATTTACTACTAAAGTAACTGCCTATTATTTCTAACTATAAGGGCACTATGTATAACAGTACAAAAACAGTAAGGAGAGTAAAATTTACTAAAATGTTATTTGTGTTAGAGTGTTAAGTAAAACTGTACACCGATTTTATTTTGCGAGAACTGTTGACACTGATATATCATTTAAACAAACTTGGTGCATCAGGAGGAAATGCATTCTGAGCTATTCATCCTTTCCGCCATTTCATATCAATCATTTTGCTAGCAATGAGCTTTTTTAATAGATTTCTAAAGATTCTTGAAGAAAAATGGTAGATATTTAGCATTATCTATCAAACCATAATTCCTCTCTATTAATCATAGCATTGGGCTTAATAGGCAACACAAATCAAGTTTTACCAGATATTACTTGCATTTCTTTCCTAAACAGTAATATTTCAGTATTATATTTATTATCTACTTGACAAATGTTTATTTTTTTTTCTTTATAAGTTTTCTGCTTTTCAGAAAACATTAAGTTTTCACATATATGGAATAAAAGCCATTAGAAGCATTGATAAAATAATCTCTTAACTGATAAAATTCAATACATAGGTGTTCAATATATAGGTAGAAAAATGCAGTTCAATGTCTACAGCCTCATTCTTGCAAAAGAGAGCTTTGATTCAAACTATACTGATTTGATTTGAAATCAAAATCAAAAGAGCTTTGATTCTTACTTCTGTATGTTCAAATCCCATGCACATTTAAGTAGATAAGTACTTAAGTAACATAGGCTACAGAAGGTTCAGCTAACAGAAAAGTTTAACAGATGCTCCAGAAGATTTACAATCTCCTGGTAAGAAGAAAGATCTACAAATAGATAAAGAAACCTGCATCAGGTAGCAATATTTGCTCAGTGAATCACGACCCACAGTCATCGAAAAGAGGGTGTGAAATCGACAAATGACAGAAGAATAAAAAAACTTCTTACAGACGTATCATCTGTTACTTCCAGATTAATTTACATTTCTATTTTGGTCTGTCCTACAAAGACATTTTTGCAGTCTTTGTAAAGGTGACTGTCATGTTGTTATATGTTTGTAAAAATAACCAGTCAAATGGCTCAAGATACAGAAGAGGGGCACAATCATTAGTTACGGATTGTATAAAATCTGCTATTTCAATATATGCATATGCCTTTTTTTTTTTCCTTTTTTTTTTTTTTTTTTAACATAGCCAATTACGTAGACTTCCTCACTTGCACGGAGATCAAATGAGAAATTTTACACAAAGATACTTCAGGCAGATCAGAAGAGGTACCACATGAGGCCATCAGTTAGATACAACCTCTCCATGCCTTCAAAAGAACAAGATGTTGCCTCCACCTTCTTCATGTAAATCTCAAGCACTAAAATCTGTACAGAGGCATAAATAACACATGCTCTCCTAGCAGAAAACTTTGAAAAGCATCTTACCATCAAGTAGCAAGTAACGACCTTCTGTGGCTAAAATTGTAAAATCATAGAATCGTTAGAGCAGGAAGGGACCTTTAAAGGTCATCTAGCCCAACTCCTCTGCAATGAACAGGGACACACACAGCTAGATCAGGTTGCTCAGTGTCTGGTCCAGCCTGGCCTTGAAAGTCTCCATACATATTTACATTTACTAACTTATAAATATATAAGTATATACATGTGCATCTACATATTTCTAAGTAGATGAACTCAGACATGTATGTCAGGCCAACCTGAATTTATTTATGCAGTTTTGGCAAAACAGGTCAGTAAAATGTCTAAATCATCTGAAAGTTTTCCTTTGCCCAAAAGAAAATACAAATGCACACTAGTCCTGCACTTGGGGGAGAGGGAAATGACAAGAGAGTAGTTTCAGGAGCTGCCACAAATTTGTCAGTATGTACCATATTACACTGCATATACATGTTAAGGAGAAATAAATGACACCTTGTTTTGTCTGTACTACTAGCAGCATCTGAAATTACTAAAACATGCCCCTTTCTGAGAAGTAAATGAAACCAATACTTGGGCATGGATATTTCTTTTTACTATTGATCCTCATTGAAAACAGCAATTTTGGGGTAACATTTAAATTGTTTTTGTTTTTTTTTTTTTGACTTTTCAAAAACATGCATTAAGTTACATACAGCAAAGCTTTGTACATACATAATAATAATAAAAACCTCTCAAAAAGAAAAGATGTCAAAGCAACATATCTATATGCAACATTAAAACAAAATGAAAGTTTTCATCAAGGGGATGAGAAAGCCAAGTACTTCTGGATAGTAAATAATACTTGCCAATTTGTAGTGGGAGAGCAGTTCTCCCTTTACCACCAGACCTAGTATTCTTGTAGAGATGTGAGGCTTCACAGAGAAGGGTTTATTACAGTCAGAAGAAGTTAAATTCTGTTGTAGGAATTACCATATGCTCAGAAGAGTGCTGTAAATACTGCTGTAAATGCTGTAAATAAGTGTGCAGCTACAGATGCAGGTACATTTGATCTTTTTCCCATTGCAGCCTGCCTCAGTAAAATCCATGTTTTAACCTGGTTTATATAAATCTTCCATTTAAAATAAAGTAACTCAACTTCTAATGTTTCTTGTTCACATCTGATGTTCCTTATGTTCCCATAAAGTGTTCAATTAAAAAAGCAGTTTTAAGCTTCTGAATGTGCTGTTAAATAAAGGATAATTATTTTAACTTCCTACGTCTTTATTAATACAACTTTTTTTGTTTAATCATTAACAAAGACATTCACTTAGACAATATTATTTGGTAGATACAAAGTATTTCAGGCATTTGCAAGTCCCACCTACCTCAGTAGCAAACTGCTGCAATCCACCAATATTAATTGGCCCCTCCTCAGTAGCATACAAATTGCAGCCACCAACGCAAAGGTCTGATGTGGGACACACCATTCCACATGTCAGACCAAGTGGATTGTCAGAAAAAATCATTTTGGCAGCTCCATAATAGTTCTGGAGAAAAGAAAACAAAAGAAGAGTCACGCATCACGGAAAAGAAAAGTCGATCAGAAATACAAAATGTTTCAACTGGCTAGTAGAATACTATAGAAATATAATAAATAAGGCTGACATTATTTAAATGCACCACATTACACAGAATTTCAAAGGTTCTGCAAAAAAAAGTCAACAGAATTGTTGATTATGCAAAGAAAACACTTTTCTTTTTAGCTTGCAAAATTATCATAAACATCTTCGGATTTAGGTAGTTGTAGGATTAACAAATCTGTGTTAGACAACTTGTAAATACTTTCTCCATTTCTAGGTTAATTAGGCAGCAGTTGAGTTGTAACCTTTGTTGAAGGTCTGACCAGACAGCACTAGTTAGACTATCAGTTCTTTACACAGGGAATGAAAGGTTTATTTTACATATCTGTGCACACTATCTCTGCAGATGCGTCGACATCGTATCACATCAGTAGCATCAATTGTCCCAAGCCTGTGATTCCTATCTAATTGCCTGCAGATTTGAACTACTGAACTGTTTGAACTCTTTTTCCTCACTCACAGGTGTATAAGAGCAAACATTTCCCCATTTCCCTAAGCAGCAAAACAGGGGACTGATTAAAGATTCCATGTAAAATTTACAATTTAACACATACTCAGTATTCAGTGTACAGCTTCAAAAAAGGAATGGTTTCCTGATGTATATGATAACTAGTAAGTTTTGTTTCCATAATAAAAAATAATGAATATTCACAACCTTATAGTGTCTGATGTAGTCAGAAAGCAACTTTTTTTTTTTTCCCAAACACTGAATAATTCTCCTAAAAGGGAGCATTAGACAAAACTTCAGGACTGAAGTCTTATTTGGAGGGAGAGAGCTACTGATGAACATTCTGTACTTATATTACATTTACATCATTGAAATTAGGGTGTAATTAAAGCAAACATTTAATATCTTTTTCTTCTATATGGTAAATATAAAAGTTAATTTAATTGTAGGCTCTGTTTTTGTCTTCATTTTACCACTTCTCACCTCCCTCTAAAAGCCTCACCAAGGAAAGCCCATAAAAGAGTTACTAATTTCTTAATACCGGAATCTCTTTTAAAGGCAGCTACAGTTCAGAAGACTGTAACAATATTTCTTAGAGTTAGCACATAGTTGAGGTTCCACAAAAGTTTTTTAGTTGAGAAATTAATGCAGGAATCTCGTTCCAGGTATTTCCAAATCAGTAATAACTGAAGGATGAAAGAACAACATGTATTCTTGTTCCGTCTACTTCTTCCTCATTCCAATCTTCAGTAATCATCACTATCATGAAACTGTTCTTGTAACAAATCACTTTATCACTCTGTCCCAGGGCAGATGATGCAGAATAATCCACGTATAGAATTCGAAGGACATGAAGGACTGTCACAACAGACCCTCTCCAATGCCTCAGTGCTATTGTGTGCCATGTAAGCTAATGTACTGAGAAGCATTTAGTAAAAGTGAATACTATACCAAGGTGAGCAAGAATCCAGTTATGAATAAAAAGAAGTTATCAAGATCTGACAGTACAACAAACAATGGGCAACAGGACTTCAGGTAACAGGAAGCTCAAATTCACCAGAAGGCACATCAGAAGACTGAATGTAAATTTTTTGAAGTTAAATCAGATGCTAAAGACTACGCTAGAAATTCCCAAAAGAATGCCAATTTTTAAGAAATATACTTAGACAGAATTGGAACTTTTGCTTACAGATGCACAGCATGAGAGCCCGTCCATCACCTGGAAACACAAAACAGCTACCCAGATGTATTTTAATAGCGTCTGAGAAAATCCCATGAAAATCCATTGAAATTCTAGTCCTAGCTAAACAAGCAAACCCTTTACAAGACTGTTCTGGGAGAATTTCTTTCAATCATTTTGCCTGTAATACCTGTGGGCATTACCATGCCCAGTTCTCATTTATTCCAACATAAAGAAGCATTAGATAAACATACATTCCAGATATCAGCAAAACCTTTTGCTCTGCCAGATAGATGTTACCAGTTTTGATACATCAGAGACTGCAAAAGCTGCTAAAAACAACCAGTAGAGACATTATAAACTCAATTCATAAGCTAAAACACAGAAGTCTAGTTATACTGGACATATCTCTGACATAACCATGCAGACAGAGGCGACAGTCAATGTAAGAGCCCCATGCCTTTTTGAAGCAGCACTCAGAGGCCAGCCTAGACATCACAGAGCATTTCAAATGTCAACAGACTCCTGTTCCTCAAGCAATTACATCTAGTTATTCCTTTTCCACTCCAAAGCGAAAAATCACAAACTCGTTCTGAGGACTTTCCTTACCAAATCAAAGAAGAAACAGTTTAAAGAATGTTTAAGTTTGATGTCTCCCAATGTATGAAGATCATGTTTTTCCTTTCTGTATTTTTAAGGATCATTAATTTTCTGATCCAAGAAAAACAATTATCATGTACATTTTTATTTAAGTAACTTCATTACAAATATGTTCTACATTTTTAGGCCTTGTAATTAAAATCAATGTACAAACCTAGTCATTATACCTAAAAAGTAAATCTGCTGAATTATTTCTATTTAAAATTAATTTATTATATATCTGTTAAGTATGTAAGGATGTCACACTTGAGCTGTGCCACTACAGGCAGTGTCAACACAGCTGGCACATTTTACTTGCTCTGCAAATCCAAACTGAAATTTAAGTACAGCTATGCCACAGAGCAGATAGATAGGACCAGGTTCATTGTGGATATAGGACTGAGATCATGGCTTACTAAGGGAACACCTGCAGAAACCTGCCTCAGGACTTCACGTAAGTCCAGCAAGTAGGCTGACCTCAAAGTAAAGGAACTTAGGCCAACTGCTGCTGGACTCCAAATCAGGAGGAAGCATGGTGGAATACAATAAGGCAAGGCTCTAATTTGGGGAATTATGAAGAGCTGCTGCCATGATTGTGAGCTACTGATGCCACCACTAATAGTGGCATCACCTGAGCAACTGATGTTTAGGAACCCTTACTCCCTAAAGAGAGTACTGAAATATATATAGTACATTTTTATCACACTAAATATAACAATCACAGAGGTTGGAAGGAACCTTTGGTAATCATCTAGTCCAACCCTCCCGCTAAATCAGGTTTTTTAGACAAGTTTGCACAGGAAAGGACAGTGGAGATTCCACAGCCTCTCTGGTCAGCTTGTTCCAGTGCTCTGGAATTGTCAATGTAAATAAATTTTTCCTCATGTTCATGTGGAACTTACTGCATTCCAGTTTGCTATTTGTCCTGTCACTGGGCACCACCTAAAAGAGCCTAACCTTACCCACTTGACTTCCACCCTTTAGATATTTATAAGCATTGATAAAATTCCCTCACAGTCTTGTCTCCTCCAAGCAGAACAGTCCCAGGTCTCAGCCTTTCCTCATAAGGGCTCCAGTACCTTAATCATCTTTGCAGCTCTCTGATGCACCCTCTGAAAGTTCCCTTTCTTTACTGAACTGGGGAGCCCAGAACTGGACACAGTACTCCAGATGGGGCCTATGCAGGGCAGAGTAGAGAGGGAGAATCACCTCCCTCAACCTGCTGACCATGCTCTTTTTAATGCGCCCCAGGACACCATTGGCCATAGGGGCACACTGCTGGCTCATGGCTGATCTGTTGCCCACCAGAACGCACAGAGCTCTGCAGAGTACATCTCCAGCAGGTCAGCCTCCTAACCTGTACTGACGTATGAAATTATTCTTCTCCAGGTGTAGGACTCTAAATTTGCCCTTGTTGAACCTCATCAGTTTCCTCTCCACTGAATTCTCCTGCCTGTCCATTTCTCACTTCTGGCATGTCAGCCACTCCTCCAAGCTTTGTAACATCAGCAATATTAAGACATCAGGTAAGTGTATCAAAGAGCATCTCTCTCTTCTAGTCTTACATCTGAAAAGTCTTAATGATAAATTAATTAAAAGGCTGTCACAACTGAAGTTCAAAGCATTCCACTTATATTTTGGGAGAAGGGCAATACTGACAGCAGGGCAAATCTTCTGTGTTACTTCACTAGCTGTGCTAAGGGGGGCACCTCTAAAGATGAAGGGGAAGTACAGGTTAAGCGCTGACTTAGTTTCTACATCTGCCAGTGAAAAAGCCACCACATTATATATGTAGAAGAGCTATAGCTCCCTAACTGTCCTACTTCATGCCCTGTTCCAGCTTTCACCTTCCAAACCAGCAGTGTAACTGCTGTTCCCACTGATGCTGTTCACTGCCAGTGACAGAATATGGTCTCACGCTGCCATTATGACTACACACAGCGGTCTGAGAGCAAGCCTGTCTGCAGCCTTTGTAATGCTCACACAGGGATAAGGCAAGAGCAGGACCAGGAGTTCTAATTCACTTCATTTCTTTGTCCTTTCATTCTGTTTATTTACTCTGCTTTCACTGTGCTGAGTTATTATCCGATATTGCAAAGTTTATTTAAAAAAACGTTTTGCAATATTTCACAAAAACTGAAGAAATAAATTCTAGAAAGTTACACTAAATGGTGTTATATAGACTGTGCAATACCACTGCAAACCATCATTTGCTGCAGTAAAAATGAGTATTTTCAGAATATGGGCAATAACTTTAATGTTTAGTTTATGAACATTTTGGGCTTATATATTTTTTCCCAAATTGAAAATATGTATTAGTGATCATTACAATTATTAGTGACATTTAAGGCAGAATACTTAATTCACTATTGATCATTTTATTTCCAGAAAAACAGGCTGTTAGCTAGGCTGCACACAAAACAGATGCGAGGCACAAACACAGCAAGCTGGTAACTGCACACCAAATGCAGTACATGAGAGCTGAGTTAAAGGCAGGCAAAATTCATTAAAATCACTAAGTTACTCCAGCATATGGAATGATGCAAACTATCTTAATAGTTTGGAGTGTTTTCTTAGCTTCTGAGACAATGACTCAGTAGGCTAGCTTCTTACAAACATCACAGAGGAAACAAGCCTAAA